CTGCTGAAGCCTCAAGCACAGCAAACTGCTGGCAGATCAGTTTGCCAGTCATACAGGGAGAAAAGAACTTCCTGCTGGGAACTGAATCTGGGCATTTGCAGAGGCCAGATACTCCCAAAAGATAGGTAGAGTCCCCAGGGCTGCTGTTTGAACTCAGTGAGAAAAGGACTCAGGAGGAAAACTGTTTTGGTGGAGAAACCTGTCACTTCAAACACAAAGAACATTCTGCAACTCAGGTGAATAAGCTGGGGGTTTTGGGGACAAATCATGACTCGATCCCCACGGAACTTACAAGATGCCAAACTAACCTGAGAGATCGGACTTCAGCAACTGTGCTTACTATTCCTTTGTCTAGGAGGCAAGGGAGCAATACAGCTATCATCTTCTGACCAGCTGCTCCTTTAGAGGGATCACACATTTTCACACAGACCTGGGGATAGGTGACAATCAGTGTTGCAAGCATGTACATACCTCCCACTCAAATTACATTAAAGCACTTTCTCTGTCAGACAGAAGAATCCAATAGCAACTAAAGCAACTGCTCACAGCCAAATGCAGGCTCTGTTACACCTCCATCCTCCTCTCCAGGAGGTATTTAAGCCCTAAACCACATCCCTAAAAGGAGTTTCAGCTACGGTCAGCTTCCAGAAAAGACAAATTCAGAGCCTAGCAGGCCTTGATCTGCATCTGGATGAAAAGATGGACCAAATGACCTCTCAGCTGGGGGACAGCCTACCTCATCAAATGGATTCAACTATTCCATGAGGCAGAGCAGCAAGTCCCAGATCAGAACAGATTCTGCAATTGCAACCATGTTTTGGGACCAGATCGCCACTTGTGCCACTGAAATGTCATGCCGCATGCATTGTGAAGGTTATGATTTCAAACACAGCTCTTAAGATTCGTTTCCATTTCCACTGATGTGACATTTTGAGAGGAATATCAAATGAAGTATTAAGTGACATGCACTACACTCAAAAAATCTTGTGCCAGTAACAGCACCAGAGAGTGAAGTCCAGACTGGATTACTTTGTTTCACACCAGTGAGGTTCCACTGGGCTTGGTCAACTACATGAGTTGGGTTGGTCAACTGTTGAAGTTACAGGAAACCTCCTTAAATCCTACCCCCAAGAGGGAAAAAAAAGGACATCAGAGGAAAAAAGCCAGTTCATTATATTCCTCCTTTGGTTCTATAGAACCTCAAAGCAGCAGAACTTCACCAACATAAAAGAAGTACAGAAGAGTATGTGGTCAAGCTGCTTATGATTGCTTTCTAGGGGCCTGTTCTGTTTATCACAACTGCATCTTATATTAGAGATCTTTTCAAGACAACAGTCTATGGTAAACAGGTCACTCCTGCAGATACAACAGTGAATGACTACCTCACACCAAAACATATGCATCTTGCTGTGCAAATGATGAAATCAGAGTTTTACCTTGCTTAAAGTTTTTAGGGCTAGTTCTGCTGCCTTTCGCACAGTCTCCTAAAAAAGAAGTTAAACGTCCATTGTTACTATTTTTAAATCTTCTGTAGAACCATTCATATTAATTGGTAAGTATAATACTACTACTGACAAGACTATATTCATGGCTATTACTTAATACAGTATCTTTCAAACAAAGTCTACTCAATGACAAACATATTAACAATCCTGCCTGACACTGCCAGGTTCTCTGTGCTTCTGTTCACATTTGTCTCTGTGACATTATTTTATTGGTTGTCCTTTTCAAAACAAAAAAACCCCACAAAACAAAAAAATGCCAAACAAACAATAAAACCCAAAACCAAACTAAAAAAAAACCCCAACAGAATCTTCTACTGCAAAAAGAAGTATATAGTGCTTTGGGTATGCTTTACCCTCTCCTCAGTATAATGCCTGTTGCTTAGTGATGCTTTACTCAACTGAATGTCTAGGAGTAGAAAAAGATGGACTAAAAACAAGCAGTAAAGTTTTGCAGCTCTGGTGGTATGGGACACCACCATCAACGAGACCCTTTAACTTTACTTGTAGTGATGAATTAAGCAGTATCTAGCAATATTGCTGGGTAGTGAAACACAAATCACCTGGACTGGCAATGTCTTAGGACATTCTTGGAAAAAATCTGGCCTGCCACAAGCAGACCTTCCCAAACCATTTCCAGGTAAAATTCAGGAATAAGACCCTTTCCAAAAGGCAGTTTGCAAGCAGTTGCTCAGTTTTGGAGGTTAATATAGCTTATTAGCACTGAGGAAAAACTGCTCGGTTGGTTTCAGTGCCCAGAAACATTTCTGAACATGTTAGATCTAACAGTATGGAAGCAACTTCCCAGTACACTTTGGAAAACAGCTTAGCCTTACTTAAGCTTGAGCAGAGAAGTCTGGATCCAGAGAGAACATAGCTCAAATCTGGAAGGACCTGAGAACTCCAACTTCACATATGCAAGTCATTTAAGCACACAAGCAGCCCAAAATAAATGTTTCTATACTAAAGAGTTAAGCAAATACTTAGGAATTCTTTTATATCCAAGAAAAATGCTGAACCATCAAGAATAAGCAC